CCATATTGGAGCGTCAGTCAGAGCTTCATGATGGAGCTGTGGGACTGGTTTTCACTAAAAAACCTACATGATGGTATAACGTACCTTGGGTCCAGAGTATTGACCACGAACCTAAACCCCTCGCCGTCGACTGAACTATTTGGACGTAAATCCTTGGTGATACAGCAGGCGATGGAGGGGGAAGTCTTCACAGATCATGGAGAATTAGCTGGAAGTTTGTTGCCTTGCTCCAGAGTACGTTGGTTGGCTGCTTTTGGACGCTTTTGGACGTCTTTTATCTCAGGGTGATGTCGTGCCAAATGCGCACGGGCACTTGTTGTATATCCAAAGTATTTCAGTTTAATTTTGCACTGCCTGCAGATAACTGTGCTCATGTCCAGCTCTTTTTTCCCCGGGACATTGCAGAAACCAAAGTGTGTCCAAACACTGGCTTTTAGCGATGACAGAGAGGTTGAATCAAGCTCTCCTCCTGCTCCATGCTGACAGACTCCATTAAGCAAGGGAGATGGCTAACTAGCTTAGCGCTGCTAGTGGAGATGCCGCCTTCTACGGTAACCGCAAGGGTAACATAATCTACAGTACAGATTACCTTACCTTTCAGATTTGACAAACTTTAAACACATTTTAAAATCGATTTAAGTTTAGAATCGATTCAGAATCGTTATAACTATGAATCTCCTTCCTTTTAAGAATCGATTTTTTTCAACACCCCGAGTTAGAAACTGTCGAGCTGTAACTGAAGGTTTTTCATGACTCTGTCTGTGTTCTCTGTGGGGTTCTGTTGGTGTTTTGTAACGTGTGTGTGTTTGTCGCTCCATGAATGTGTGTGTTGTGTTGTGTTGCAGACTATAAGCGTGGGTTTGGAGGGCAGTATGGGGTACAGGTGGAGAGGCAGGACCAGTGTGCTCTGGGTTACGAGCACAAGGAGAGCCTGGCAAAGCACGAGTCCCAGAAAGGCACAGAAACTCCTGATCCTCAACTTCCTGTTCCCACAAAGCTTTTTCCCCTCTGCTGCTTCAGATCTGTCAGCCTGTCCCTGTTACACCTCAGCAGCACCAGCAGGTGGAGCTATTTAAACCCTGCAGGTCCCAAAAGACCGGCTTTAAACGAGTTAGAAGTGTGGATCAGACCGTCTCAGTGCTGCTGAGGTGTTTCATCTTTACTCTACATTTGATACTTTTTAATTTCTCATCACATGAAGGAATCTGTGCTTCAAACAGCCCTGGTTTTACACCTCCACCTGGTTATTTCTGCACAGATTTATTTTCCTGAGCTTCAGGAGACACAACACACAGTTTTTACTGCATGAGCCTTTATCCTAGCACGTTAAACACAAGCTCTTAGACACAGGAAGTGCTTAAAGTGCCTGTGACGTTAAATTTAAGTCATATATTTGAGTGCTTATGTGGAAAGGTAACATTCATGYTGAACTGCAAACAGAAATTCACGACACAGAAACAGGAAGTGATGTCAAATGGGAATGCCTGAATGAGTTGTTACAACAGCTAACAGACTGCAAAGAATCAGATGTTTCTGTAGATTATTTTGAGTCGTTATCAGATAGAGACAGATTTATAAAGACCAGGAAGTTACCTTTTTTTAAAGAGTTCCCCTTTGACATCACTTCCTGTTTCACTTGGACTTCATCAAATTTGGCAAAAAAAAATGCACATTTTGTGACAGACTAGGTAAAAATTAGGGGTGCACGACAGTAATCGACCTGATATCAGGGAATTATGACGTCATACTGATCCGTCTGATATCACAACAAATAGAACCAATAATATATGTTCATGTTTGCCTGCGTGGAGATGAGAACGTGTGTTTATTTTTATCCTTTTTGATCAAGTCGCTTCCCGTCCGGCACGACCCGAGCAACGTTCAAGTTGCATCGGAATAAACACCTTTATAACTAGAAAAATAATTAGAATACTCCGTGCTGAAAAACAACCAGTCATTTTAATAACTATTATTATTTTACCAATTAACCCTGTATGTTACACACATACTGTATAATATAAACATCGGAACAACTACTCCCAAAGTGAGAACATGTAAAGTCCCTTACCTCCTGAATGCATCACAAAGTCCATCTGCTAAAATGCTAACAACAACAACAAGCTAGCCTTCAAGAACTCATCGGGACTTAAATCATTTCTGAGACTTTTGATAAATTCAAAATAATTACCAGAGAGGACGCAGATCTCAAGTGATTTAATGATGGAAATGATGGAACGTGACAAGCAGCCGTTCACCCTCGCTAAAGACTGAAGCGTTTATAACCTTGTTAGTAGGTTTGCTACGATTAATCGAC